AGGCCTTTATTTATATCCAGGGCAGTGTCACTGTCTCACAATTCTATTTCCTATCTAACACATTCCTAAACTCTAAAATAAGCTAAACATTCCTACACATGTTAGATAATCAATCTACCTACCCTACAAAATGCGCACAAGTTGCTGTAAAACTTGCATGCTATAACTACTCCAATCACTTTTACTCATGCTCAGAACTCTAACAGAGTTTGATGTTCGGAGAGTCATGTAAATGCATGTCATTTATAAAATGATTATTAACGTCACACCAACGACCACCTTAACTTAAAAACACACTAAGCTTTCCAGGGAAACTGATTGGCTGTTTAAGCAGGTGTTATCTGCATTCATTCGCTGATCTCTCTTAGGTGCCACAGAGTCTCACTCTTCAGTCGCTGAGTTGGAGCTTGGCACGCCCTTGTTGGAGGAGGGCGCTCTTTTCACCCCTCACCCTCTCGTTCCAACGCAGCTTTATGGTTATTGCTGTGGTTCTGGAATCTTCTCATGATGACTAGTAGGGCCCCAAACCGCACGACCTTTGACCTCAACCACTGCCTGGGCTGTCAGCTCTGCTATGAATGGTCCCTGCTTCTTGCTGGGTCTCTGAAGACTTCTGATCAGCACCCAGTCTCAGTCAGGAGATTCCACCCTTGGGATGATTTCTTCCAGCAATACTCTGGCTGCTGCACCTGTATCTCTTTACTAGGAGGAAAAACTTCTAACCATTTGGAAAACATGTCAACCATCATCAAACCACATTTTCCTTTCAGTTCAGTGAAGTTTACTTATAGATCATCAAAGCCTTATCTGAACATGGACTTAACCCCCCTGTAGAGGTTTAATACCTGTACATGAACTGTTAATCCCACAAATCACAGTAAAAAGCCATGGACAACATCAGGGCTTCTCCTCCGGAGTAATTTCACTTCAGCCCTGTAACCCTGTGTTAAAGAATAAAATCAGCATTAATGTCATGTTAAGTGGGCTCTAATTCTTGGCTCTTCCTGGAGCCTGCATCCACACCACAGTTACCTAGAAACCAAAATCGGTGAGTAAATACAAACTTCACACTTACAAACAACTGTAGGGTCATAAGAGTAATAAAGCATCCAGCACCACTTACAAAAGTGCGCCATATGCAGTTTATTTCCCCCAAATCATTAAAACACTACTGTTACCATAATTTGCCCAAATCATGGATCATCCCATGTGTTTAATTAAAACTACTGTAACCAGTAACTTTTCTTAAGTAATGTCACTCACTTGTTTTCACACTTTGAGCTCAACACCTTAAAATGAATAAAGATATGATAATGAGCCCCACACTAAGATGTTCTGTAATCACTGCACAACCTGCTTCATTTCACTCATGTCTGCCTGTGTGATACCAGAACCCTTAGAGAGGGGGAAAAAAAACCATTAGCCAGTGGTGTGTCCTCGCAGGTCGGGCCTGGATCAACAGATTCCAGAGGTGTTGCTGTAAATCATGTGGTCAACCCTCCTAGTCTGTGAAAGGAGTGATACTGATTTTAACACCGTATGTGTTTCACATTGAATACACATTTTCCCCTGTAACATTTAACATTTGATTGATTGATAATACTTTATTTATCCCGAGGGAAATTGGGTTAAGGCTGCCAGCCGTGCCAGCGCCATCTTACCCTTCCAACCATACATACATTACACAAAACATCACATGGGGAAGACAGGTCAGAGAGGTATAACAATGGAAAATGCACCACATGAGGAAAGATAAGGAGAAAAAAATAACTCTCCCCAGACTGAGCTCCAACATTGAGATCAGTTTGAGAACAGGAAAAAAACACCTCTGCACATAGCACATGAAAAAACTCTTAATACACCAAAGAAACGCATGACAAGCAGCAGGGGTGGGTAAAGGGTGCAGCATCGGAAGGGAATAAGCATCGAAGGCGTTTGGAAAGGGGGTGTGTGTGTGTGTGTGTGTGTGTGTGTGTGTGTGTGCGCGCTAGTAGGCAGGTTTAATGGCTGTGTGTGCAGTGGAGCTGCAGATTCAGTAGAGCATGTCCTTAAACCTGCCTTTCCTTCACATTTCTCTGTTTATGTGTGACATATTTAATATCATTTTCATCACTACTTATTAACACTTTCCCTCTCTTATTCTTCTATCCACATTTTAACACATCTCTTTCCATCACTCTTGGTTATACACACACACACTTCTCTTTACTGCATTCCTCAGTTTCTACACACTTTATACTGCATGTATTATTTCCCATATTTCTGAAAGGGAAAAGAAAATCATGCAACCAAAACCTGGATTTGATCCTGCACTTACCACTGCAACAAGAATACCCACTTGAATATCCAAACTGAGTTTCTAGGAACCTGCACCCAATAATTGCAGCTGTAAGGAAGCGAGGATTTCCCCGTCGGTCCGATAGAAAAATCCTCCCAAATCAAAACAGCTCACCGTTGCAGATCCTTTGCAGTGCCTCTCTTGGTTCTTTTAAAAATTCCTGCATGTGTGATTCGGTGAAGCATACCCCCCGGTTCTCCCTTTTTGAAAACAACGGTGGGACTGAGGCAATTTTACCTCAGGATGGCCAGTCACCGCGTGCCCGTGATTCAGCGAAACTCACCGGAGGAATCCTGCCCGACAACGCCAAATTGTTGTGGAAAATTGAACAATAACCTGCAACACACCCAGCGAGCTTGATTTGAAGTGGGTTTGATAAACACACTGCAATGTGGAGAGAGCATCCCAGTGAAACACTAGGACCATCTCTGAATTGTGGCCACCGTCCTTACATCTTATATACAGAGACGCAGACGAAGAACATTCCACAAACTCACACGTTGGCCCCTCTCACGGGGGAGCTATACCTTCTCCCTCACAGAGAGAATTATGACCTTGTTTTCTGCTTGGCCGTCACCTAAGGATTTACATCCCTGATACGCAGAAGGAGTCCCACTATCTGTTTAATGTCTCCCATTACAATGGCCTCACTGTGTTAACGTTCCACATGCATGTAAACTAGTGACAGGAGTGCTCTTACTATAGTAAAGTGATATTACTATAACTAATGTGATATGATTAAATATGTGATTAATAGATGAGAAAATAAATCTGCCACCACACGGTCTAGGTGCATCTGGTTCAGATATAGCGCTTTCTCAATGAAAGAAGCCAAGTTTTTTCAAAGGTTATTAGGTGTGCCAGTGGCAGTTTATTTGGTCTGAGGTCTGTTTACACCCTGAGTAAGGCTCAAGTTGTCTTCCTGAAAGCGCTGTAACTGAGTTCAAGGATGCAATTCCACGGTTATCTCCTTCGATGTCATGTGCCAGCACAATGCAGAGCACTGTTTACGAACCTGGATACAGTGGCTCCCCTGAAAAAAGCCTGAAATCTTTGCTTGACTCCCTGGTATAACTGTGCCTGGCAAACCTGCGCCTTAAAGCAGATAAAACGTAAGCTTGAGAGGAAATGGCATCTCATTAAGTTAGAGCTTCATTTAGCCTGAAAAAAGAGTTTGCTGCCCTTGCAAAAAGTCCTGGTTGAAGAAAACAAGAACAACCCCAGGTTTCTTTTCAGTACTTTATCCAGGCTGACAAAGAGTCAGAGCTCTGTTGAGCCAAAAATTAATTAAACGTTAGCTTGTTCAGCGCAATGTTCAATGCTGTTGATCACAACATTTTATAACAGATTATAGCATGCTGTAAGAATAGTAAAATAATAAATGTACTGTGCTGCAGTGGGTTGAATCATATTTATCTATTAGACTCTAATTTGTTCATGTAAATGGAGAGTGGAATCTTGGAGTCATTTTTTTGACCAGGGTATCTCCTTTATTTTGTATAATTTAAAAAAAAAAGTGTTTAATTATTTATAAAATTAGAAACGTCCTGTCTCAGAGTGATGCTAAAAAAAACTAGTTAATGAATTTATTACTTCTAGGCTGGACTACTGTAATTCATTAGTATGTGAAATTAAAATATTTTATCACAGTAATGCTGACTTTAAAAAAAAATAAAAAAAATAGTGACGGTTTATTTCAGCATGTTGGCATCACAAGTGAATAATCTGATAACAAAAATATCATCACAGCCAAATCAACATACCCAGTGTACTTTACCACTCAGGCTTTGAGCCATCAGGCAAGTGTTTATGTTGAACCCTGCCCAATAAATGCCCCTGACATAGACTTAACTCCAACTCTGACCCTCAAACTGGCTTTTGAAAGAGTATAAAATATTAGGGTCAGCTAAAAAGTTGTAAGTTTGGAAGATTTATTGTACATCATGGGTCTAAATAAATTCTGACACCAAATATGCTGACAAGAGAACTTTTTTGTTTATGTGTATTTTATCTTTAGTTTATAGTGCCTGTGGCGTCAGTCACACATGTAGCCTAGACAAGCAGTTCGTGAAAAAGCGGGAACAAGGTCATAACTGTTCTTATTTCAAAACAATATTTTTACATATTTATAATATTTATACATAAACATTAAGTGAATAGGGAGTCTGTAATCTGTAGATATAACAAGGGTTACCGTGTCCACAAACGGGTTATCATAGATACAGTATGTAAAGTAATCATATTTATACTCTTATTAAATAGACTTCTTCACTGATGAATTAAAAATTCTGAGCGAATTACATGATTTTGAAATCATGTGACATTCTGAAGAATGAGTGCTGCTCTTTTATGTTTTTTGCTAAAGCACAGGATTTTGATTGCACTGTAACAATGTCTATATTTTAGATTGCATCGCAACTTTTGCAGAAGTCAAGACTCTAAATACTCCTTCAGCCACAAATCCATTAGCTAAAAGTTGAAATTCAGTAAAACCTTTATCTGTCTCATTTATTAAATCTAATTATTTCCTCTGGTATCGCTATTCCTAAACAGGCACTTTTTTCTGCCTGGAAATGTTCGTAAATTGCTGGTTCCTTTGAGGTCTGTGAGGAATGAGAAAACCTGTCCAGCCGTAGATTTTTTTGTGTCTTATCTACAATAGGCTCAGCCCCCTATGCCACGAGGAGGCTTAGACTGGCTATGAGACAAACAGAAAACAAAACAGTCAGGCAGAGACGATAGGAACGCAGTCCTGGAAAGGATTCAGAAAGGTACCAGAATACCCACACTGCCACCAGCTAAGCAGGTAATTAGTGTTTGACTTTGATTTTCATTGCTTAAACCTATCGCAGTTAGCAAAAGCTTCTGTCTATATTTGCTGCAGCTGTTGACTGTAAATTAAACTAAGCTGGTCTCTGATAAAGCAAGCGTGTGTTTTAGTTTGGCACTTACTGGTGACTAAGATTTAAAACAAAGTAAAAGTGTAAAAGTTTACAAATAATTGTCACTGTATCACTTTTTAATCTACACAGAAAGGTCACTCAGATCAGGTTTTACTGCTGCATTATCACATCTATATTATGCCAAAATGCCTTTTATATGGATTTTATAAAATAATTTTTAATAGCTTTCATGACAGTTTGTAACAAGTTTTTGTAACAAGGTGAAGGTAATGCTTTACATGTTTACTGTTCCCAATGCTTTTCCTTGAACGCAATGTTGGAGAATAATTAGATATATCCTTATGAAATAACTACTTCCCACCTAACCAGTACTCTAGATCAGTTAGGTGTTTTTCAGTTGCCAAGGCTTTTTGTAAATTATGCGGTGTGCACAGTTTTCTGTTTTCTTTTTTTGTTGCCTCTATGATGGTGTGATAAAGAGAGGGAAATCACACAGGCAGACTTTACACTGTTAAAACTTCCTCTGAAATAAAACAAGATTTTAGAGCTGTGAACTTTGTTCAAAGATGTACCTCTTAATGACTCCTTTTATTAATAAATGCAAATTGTGTTATTTTTGTTCTAGCTGTTACTGTGAGTAGGCTCTAATGTGATAGGTGAGTGAATCTTTTAAGGTTAACAGAGTTGAAAGAAAAAATGCACCCAAATTGCTACAGGCAGGCTATGGCTCATGTGTCAAAGTGTCTAACATGTAGCAACAACCGTCAAAATCATTTTTAGCTGGGAGCTCCTCCTATCAGTAAGGTCTAGCAGCAGAGCCAAGCCAGTGGATTTTTCTCCGGAGCTTTCTAGAACGTATAGAAAAATCCTCACATAGGAAACCGGTTTCCTATCCTCACATAGGAAACTCTCAGTAAGAGAGCTAAGGGCTGTAAGGTGGCCTTGACATGCAACAGTGTGTTTGTGGTGGTTGTGTGAGTTTGACTGTGGGAGTATGTTGTGTGGGTAAGCTGCAAACAAATTTCCCTTTTTTGGGATTGATAAAGTTGGACTGAATCTGAATAATAAACTATGTGACACCGTTTTCAAGTTCACAAGACAAATAATTAGAAGATGTGAACAGTTCTGTTGGGTCTGTGTTTCCACAAGCCCCGCTAATTCTAGAGACTTATTCATCATGAAGAAAACAAGACAGTCGATCAATCGATTATTTGCGCAAGGGAGGCCTCGTGTGTGTCCACCATGGAAATGACCCCGATGACGGCCTCCTCTCGCTGCCTTTTATTGAGAGACAGTTCACACAAAACACATCACAGCAAAGCAACGCCCACATGGTTCTAATACGTGTGTGCGTGTGTGTGTGTGTGTGTGTGTGTGTGTGTGTGTTACCTCCTGCTGACCAAAGGGTCATAAAAGCAGGAGCAACATCACAAGAAGCAGATCTTCCAGATAGGATCTATCTGCAATAAAACATTCCAGAACCTCGAGAAGGACAGTGGAATTCCTTTCATCAGAGTTGGCAAGCATAAAATGACATGAACGATTTAACAATTCACTCTAACAAGTTCTGATGAAGGTTTTCTTTTACCTGCCATAAACTGTCACCTAAATAGCACTCCCAAAATCACAAATAAACGAATAAATGTCCTTAACTTTCCAATCGTTTCGAGTATCAATCATTGAAAAACTAGTGAAAATATAAGAAGATTTAATGGAACCCCCTGATCTCAATCACACTCCGTCTTTAACCAAGTGAGGCCATCAAGGCTGTAGCCACAGGTTTTTGACATCCTAGTGCAAAAATAGAGAGATTTCTGATCTTCAGAAAGGAGCTTTAATCTTTTCTTATATGCAGACTCCTCTGTCTCTCTAACTGATCCTATTTCTTGATTTGAATTAATTCTGCTTTCTTGATGATATTTTAGGATAGAAGATGATTCTGTACTGACTGAATACATTTTTAACCGCTTTCACTAACTTAATAACTAGTAAACAGTAAAAATAAATGTAACTACAATATGGTCTAGTATTTAGAATTCTGCTACATTGGTTGTGACTGTCCTGACAGCTTATTCATCTACAGATATCAGTTTATAGAGCTGTAAGTATAATTACAGTTTTCTTTTTTCCATTTCCAGCCTTGGTTTTCTGAACACAGTTTTGGAGACATGCCAATATAAAACTAAACTATAGCTGAGTAATTCAACCAAGAGGGAAAAGTCTTAAAAACAAACCTTACGTTGTGAAGGAAAATTCCAACCCCAATCAAGAGCTGAGCTATTCCGGGAGTTGTGAGAAACTGTCAAACATTTACTAAAATCTAATCAAACAGTAGCACCCCAGACTGCCCTTGACTGCCCCACCCGTATCACATTACAACTGATAGTTCATAGTTAGAAGCACAGTTTGTAGGAAATGTTAGGATTGAACTAAACATTTTGCATTTAAACAACTTATTAGTCTTATTTGTATTATTTATTTATTTATTTTTTCATCAGTGGATCCACGTTTTGCCAGTCATCAAGGCAGCACACAATGGCTCTGAACATCCCAGGGCTGGTGGTAATGGTGGTCTTCTACCTGATGGTGCTGGGCACTGGTCTGTGGGCCTCGATGAAGTCCAAACGGGTGCAGAAAAGCAGCCAAGCAGCCCGGACAGAGGTCACTTTGCTGGGAAACAGAGGGATCAGTATGGTAGTAGGAGTCTTCACAATGACCGGTGAGAGTGCATGTTTGTAGATATTTGGCTGTTATTGTAGCCACTTTCATTGAGTGAAACTGTGTAAGAACATTGTGGTGGTGTTTTAGCTGGTGAACAACAACCTGTCTCTCTTTAACAGGGAGTCCCCCGTTTGACATTCTTTCAACAAAAACATGTGCAGCTATTAAGATAAAGGGACTAGCCTGTTCGTATGTAAAAGACAACAAACCTTTCTTAATACGGTTATTTTAAAAAATGTGTTGTTGTGCCTAATTTATTACATATTACAGTGAAGTGGAACCATTAAGCTTAAGTTGTTTTGTTTTGTTTTTGGTTTTTTTTAATTAATATTCCTTGCTTAAGTCAAATTTTTTTTGTGCAATTGAATTCCTACATTTTGAGTTACACTAAGACACAGTTAAAAGAGAAAACAGATGTTTTTAAAACTTCATCTCATGTGCAAAAGTGTTCACACCATCAATTAACTGCTTATCAGTAGGCAATATTAATTTAGAAGCCTCTTTACCTGAGCCTGAAGGTCACGGTGTAATTCCTCCATGTGTGCTTGTGCTGTGCTCTCTGCAGCTACTTTTGTTGGAGGGGGCTTTATCGTTGGTCTGACAGAAGCAGTGTACACACCAACTATGGGGCTGGCCTGGGCAGTCATGCCATTAACAGCAGCCCTGTCTTTTATTGTTGGTAAGAGTTTTAATAATAACACCATTACCTGTATAATTTCTGCATTTGCACATGATTTCCCATTTTCTGACGAAAGCGGCTCATGTGTGCGTAAGGTACTACACTACAGAATTTAATCATTATGATTTCCTTGTCACATACTTGGTTATGCCTACAAATATCATATTCATCTGAACTATTAGGTAGCATCTACAAAAACGACCTTTTTCAAAGCAAGGTTTTTATTTCTAGATATTACTTTTAATGTCTAAATCAGGAATGATGTGTTTTATAAGACAAAGGCGTATATCTGTGTGGAAAAATATGATTTCTATATGATTACTTTAAATGTGTTTTACATAGGAACGCCACAAATTTTCACAAACACTTTTTATGCCTCTAGAGGAAGCTGTGCAAAATCATAAGGAAAAATCTAAAAACCTACCTTTTCTAAATTAGGCTTTGAAAAATACAGGCCAAGCATGTCTTATAAGGAAGTGGGGACACATCTGTGCAAATTAGCGTAAAATATGATTCGCATAAGACTATGAATGAATCTTAAAGAGGAAGTCCACTGATTTTCAGTAGTGGATGTGAAGAAATGTGTTCTACCTGTCGTTAAGGTGGACTTTTCTTTGCCAAACCAATGAGAGAAAGAAAATATGTGACAATGATGGACCCATTCCAGATCAAGTATGGAAAGTCAATAAGTGGAGCTCTGTCCGTGGCTCTGTTAATTTCTGATCTAATCTGGGTGACAGGAACTCTTATCGGCTTAGGTGAGTGATACCCACATAACTTTTGTTTTCCTTCTCTAGTAATAAGATCTGCAACTGAATAATTTCCAGGATAGAAACAAGTTTTTTAAGTTTGGCTGCTATAATAGTTTTAACTGCATCCAAACACCTATACAACAAACTAGTATGATAGTATTACTTTAAGTCATACTGACACATGCTGTTGGTGTCATCCTAAAGTGACTGAACTCATTTTCCTAAACTGAATGAAGGTAATTCTGATATATGTGATTCTGTATCATTTACTGTGTTACTTTTATAGGAGCAACAATAAGCGTGGTCCTGGATTTATCCTACGCTGTTTCCATTTGGATCTCTGCTGCTGTAGCCATCATATACACATTAATGGGAGGTCTCTACTCTGTAGCCTACACAGACATAATACAGCTAACACTCATTTTCTTCAGTATGGTGAGTTCACTTGCATGGGAAACTACATCCCTCCTTAATAAAATATAGGGAAACTGTGTTTAATATAAATAAAAGAGCACAATTAATGTAAATACTTTAATTAAGCCTGTATGGATTTGAAAATGCATAGAAAATACATGAAAACTTAGTTGTTGTTTTATGTTTTTTTTGTTTTTTTTTAATTTGATGGCACCTCACTTTAAAAAAAAAGTAATATATGCATTAATGTCTCAAACTCATCAGATTGTGTTTAAAGCAAGTTGGATGTTCCCTCTGCTCCTTGGCCATGAGAAATACAAGATCTGTGGCTTTGAAAAAAAAATATATCAAACTTTTATTTATGCACCACAGGAGAGGTTTTCTTTCTATCTCCTTAAATTATATTAAACATCAGTTTTGTCTTTGAGTTTTGATCTGTGACTGATGGTGCTCACTGGACACCGTTTTCAGACTTGAGGGCCTGAAGGTCTTTAATCGTTTGTTTTCTGGCTCCTCTAGATTCTCCAGATTGTCTGAATCTTCATGCACATTATCTACTAAAGATGATGAAACTGGCAATTATTTGAGCCGTTTCCCTAATTATACATTTCTCCCTTAACTGTCGTTGCCCTCGTCCCACCCCTTTTTTTTAAGCGTGTTGTAGCCATTAAATTCTATATTTTTTGAAAAACAGTGGCTTTTCATCTTCGGTTTAAAGTTTAATCTTTATGATAAATGGTCCTTTACCTTCTGGAGCATGTGTGCTGTGATTATGCACCTTTTCCTCAGCAGCTTTGATTTATCCCAATGTCAAAAAATACACAGCGTTAACAATGCCCGTCTGGGCCATAAACAGTTCGCAGAAGAGACTCCTAACCACAACAGTTTCAACTTGCTGCTTATAATATAGGATTGGAATGGTTTCCAATATATTGCATTGTATTTGTATTACAATTTTATAGTGTTTTTACATTTTGCATCCCAAACTTTTTTTGGGAACAGGGTTTTAATATAGGCAAATCTAATGTGATTGTGAACATTGTAACTTAGTCTTTATGTCATTGGATCTTCTTCTGTTCTGCAGTGGCTCTGTGTCCCCTTCACCTTAATGAACCCCCACTCTATGGACATTACTAAGACTGCTTTCAACTTTACCTACCAAGCCCCCTGGATTGGTTCTGTAGATAAAGAAAGGCTATGGAGATGGATTGATAATTTCTTATTATTGGTAAGGCCTGCATTTATTTTTATTTAGGACTGAATTTGTAAAAGCAACAAACACAGAAAAACATTAGCAGTTGCAGAGACCAAGACAGATTTCTAGCACTAGTCTCTTGATGGGTATTAAAAGATCTAAATGTTTTTAAAATAAAGGTCACTAAGTACAAACAATCATCCAAAATAAACTATGTGAATGACCACGGCAGAAGCCGTGCAGGTGCGTCTGCCTTCCCTGCACGGCACCGCAGGCCACGCCCGCCACATACCCCCATCGCCCGACTGAGGCCGGGGAGCCATCCGGCCGAACCTACTCCCCCCACTGCGAGTGGCAGAGGGGATCAGCCTGGACCGTCGGCACCCCCGGGCCCTGGCCAAGCGACGGGGAGTTGTAAGGTCAGGTGGCCCCCCGCGAACCCAGCAGTGCCGGGGAAGCTGGTCCAGAGGTCGGCCGCGTGGCAGGTGGACGCCGGTGGGGGTGGCGGCGGTGTCGGGCAGGACCGGATCAGCGCCGCCAGATACTCAATCCTCTGCAGGTGGGGCTCAGTCTGGTCCTGCAGCTCGGCGACCACGCCGCCTGCTCCTGCGGCGTGGTCGCCAGCTCGGCCACCATTTGCACCAGCTCCTCCCTCTACTAGCCAAGTCCTGGGTCTGCCGTGCCTCCCGTCCTGGGTTTCGTCACCACTGTGAGTGACCACGGCAGACCCGGTGACATTAACATGCTTTGCAGCATTCTTTATTAGCACACACACGGTTGCTGTTCAATCTGCTTTAAAGTGATTATTTAAGTAATTTATAAAGTTATCAAAACTCAAACCAAGCAGTGACTCGCCTATAAATGGATCCGTTTCAAAAAGCAGTTTTCATACTCTGGCTATGAACCTCAAGCAGATGAAATCCAAGATGGGAAAAGTGGTTTCAGTATCAGTTCCAGGTCAGAGATGGATCAATCAGGTTCATAAACAAAATAAAGAACAGGGTCTCCCTTTAAATCCAGAAAAAACTAAGGATATCAATGTGGACCACGATATTCATCTTAGAAAACATGAGTGGAGAAATTGTGGTTAACAAGTGAACTCGATCGAGTTACATTCAACAATATTCAGTCATTCAGCATTAGGCCTTCATGGGTATGAAATTGTTTGCATGATGTAAGCCTAATGATGTAATGAGGGGGGGGGGGAGGACATAGTTTTCATTGAATTTAATGATTATTAATACTAAAACTATAATTAATACTAGAAATGTTCATTTACATTCAAGGGAGCTTTGAACAAGCACTGAAACTCCAAATAGACATAAACAATTAGTCTGACGAGAAACAAATGAGCAAATGTTTCAACCTATAATGTGTACTCCATGTGAACATTATAAACCTAAAGCACACAAGTTAACTCAAGATGAAATAAACAGTTTGTCATTTGCTGAGTGCTAATAAAATACACATAATTAGAGATACAACTAAAGTTGAGAGATTATAAACTAAAACAACATTACCCTAATAAATGACTAACTAACAAAATGAACGGCTAACTGTCACACTGTCATTTGTTTAAGGCTTTAGGTAACCTTGGATATCAGGACTTCCACCAGAGGACTCTGTCAGCCTCCTCATCAAATACAGCCAGGATCACCTGCTTTATTGCAGCTCCACTTATTTTTGTACTTGGAATCCCATCTGTGTTGATTGGAGCAGTCGCAGCATCAACAGGTACAACAACAGAGAAATATATTTAATAAAATTGTTGAAATATATTTTCATTTATTTGTACTTTTTATGTTTTTATGCCAGATTGGAACATGACCTTATATGGCTCCCCATCCCCCTTCAAGCGAGGAGACGCTGGTCAGGTTCTGCCAATTGCTCTGCAGTACCTCACTCCAAACTACATCTCCATCATTGGTATTGGAGCTGTAGCTGCTGCTGTGATGTCCTCAACAGACTCTGCACTATTATCTGCCGCCTCCATCTTCTCATCCAACATATATAAGAGCATCCTAAGGACCACAGTAAGAGACCTGAAAGGAGAAGATTCGAGTTGTGGTTATGTCTTTTCTGGTTCAGTTTCCAGATTTTATTTTATTTTGGGGTTTTTTTTGGGTTTTTTTTGCAGGCATCAGACAGGGAGCTCCAGTGGGTGATCCGTGTCACTGTGGTCCTGGTGGGCGTGGCTGGCACATCGCTCACCTTCCTAAACAACAGCATCATGGTTTTTTGGATCCTGGGCTCAGACATAACCTACACCATCATGTTCCCTCAACTAGTCTGCGTCCTCTTTTTTAACATCTCCAATGGTTATGGCTCTATCATGGGCTTGCTAGTTGGAGTGTTGCTGAGATTGCTCAGTGGTGAACCATCCATAGGGTTACCTGTTGTCCTTCACTTCCCAGGTTGCACTCTTGAACATGGCATTTATGTCCAGCGCTCTCCGGTCAAGACTATCTGCATGTTATCCGCTATCTTTGTTACTTTGTTGTTCTCCTACCTGTCATCACTGCTCTTCAACAGAGGATTGATTTCTGAGAGGTGGGACGTATTCAAAGTGAAGGCCAACAAACGATCACAAAAATTAACATTAATGAGCAATGGCATCATCGAAACAGACAAGGAGGAGAAGCCTGATGGTCAGAGTGAAACTGAACTAATACTAACCCCCAGTCAGTTAGAGTGACAAACTAAATGATTTAGTGGGATGCAGATGTGTTTTTAGAATAGAATAGCTTTTTATTGTCACTGTTACAAGAACAATGAAAGGCAGTTTGGCATTTCTCCATGTGTGTGAAGTACACAATAGCGTAAGTATTTACACAATAACAGAAAAAATTTACATTTACACAAGAAAGATATGTACAAGTTATACATACACGCACATACATACATATATGCATCCGTACATACATACACACACACATATATGTCCACATACACGCTTACATTTATATACATACACATACATGCCATCTAACTAGTAGGTGCATTGAGAGGTGCAGTGTGATCAGTGATATTGCACATTGAGAGTGTGTGTGGGGGGTGCTGTTGGAACTATATTAGCTAAGGTTACGGTATAATAAATATAGTTTAAAGAGGTAGGGGTGTTGGTTGCATTGAAGTATAAATAGAAATACGATTTACAAATAAGGTGTAATGTCCATGAGTGTTGGCAGTGCAGTTATCCTCCAATCAGGGTCAGAAGGCTCTCGATGGTGGAGCAGTAGACGTTTACGAGCAGTCTTTGGGGTAATTGGGCCTGACGTAGTTTCCTGAGGAAGTACAGCCTTTGTTGTGCTTTCCCTACCTGGTGGGAAATGTTTGTGGACCAGGTAAGGTCGGCCGAGATGTGGACTCCGAGGAACTTAAAGCTTTATACCCTTTCTACCTCCTCCCCATCAGTGTAGAGGGTAGAGTGCTCAGATCGCTTTGTTCTTCTGAAGTCGATTACCATCTCCTTGGTCTTGGCTGTGTTTAGATGCAGGTTGTTGTCGTCACACCATTGCTTCAGATGCTGAACCTCCTCTCTGTAGGCTGAATCGTCATTGTTGTCGATCAGTCCTATGACGGTGGTGTCATCAGCAAATTTTATAATGGTGTTACTGGTGTGGATTGGTGAACAGTCATGGGTGAAAAGTGAGTATAAGAGGGGACTGAGGACACACCCCTGTGGGAAACCCACATTCAGAATGAGGGTGGGGGAGGTGTGCTCTCCCATTCTGACGTTCTGGGGTCTGTTGCTCAGGAAGTCCAATATCCAGCTGCACAGTGAGCTGCTGAGTCCTAAGTTGCTTAGTTTATTAACCAGTTTGTGGGGTTGAACTGTATTGAAGGCAGAGCTGAAGTTATTGTGATTTATTATCACACCTTCTGTTTTTATGCCAGATATTTTGTGAAATGATCATGTTTGCCACAGGACCTTGGAAGAATTCATGGATTCTTCCAAAGTCATCCATTGTTTATAATCAGTGCATGCTTTCTGTATGCAGTATATACATTTCTTAAAATTACATTGGAGTAATTTCTTTAAATACATTTTTCTAGCATTTGTTTAACCGATTGTTACTAATGGTGAATGATACTAATATAGTGTTACTTCAGTAAAATTCCTAAAGTTAGTGGGAGGTAATACATGAATCACTGAATGAATATGAGTCCATATGTATGAATCTTATGTAGCATCTAGATGGAAGTATGAAATGGAAGATGGATGCTCGCAGTAAAGTGCTTCCTTACCCAACAAATTATGATTTGGGAAAACAATTAAAAATATTTTTGGACTTGCACTTGTGCTACAATCAGCTGATTTCAGTACGTGTGGAACTGAAGAGGAAGATGGGGGGGGGGACAAAAGTGTGGATATGGACATTATTTTTATTGCACAAAGGAGAAGAGCACAGTGGGGAAAGTGCAAACTACACTAACAGTAACTGCATTATCCTGCCAACATAACTTGGGCTCTTTGCCAGCTCCTGCTAGGACAGCATGCTAACACTAAGCTAACCAAGAACCCAGAGTGACTTAAAGCTGAGTGAATCCTGACCCCGCCCAGCAGCCAGACCCTGAACTTCAGCAGGTAACATCTGTGACGAGCAGTCAAGCTGTACCTGTTTCTACCTGTTCATGTTACTAAAGTAGAATCACTGTGGAAATTACTGTGAAGTTTCTTTGCTTTGTTTTGTTGGCTTTGTGTTCACATGTAAATGCTTTGAGAAAGATCATATGTGTGTCCTTATTAGGATTGGGATATGTGTTGGTGTGTGGGGCTGTAGTCAGTAGATTTATATTGATAAATGGTAATTATGAGATGAGATTATGCTGATATAATGTAAAAAGTAACAAATTACTGTCTTCTGGGCGCAATTACTTTTAGTATCAACACCAAGAGTGGAAATGCTACCAATATGCACAAACGTTTCTCATCCACTTGTCTTCCATATGGTGCTTAGTGATGATGGTGACTCTCAAAGTGGAGGCAATGAGAATCCAATGAGAGTTGATAATGGAATCAGAATCGCTAAATTCTTATGAATTCTAGTCGTACTACAGGACAATTTTTCACTGTGCCAGAGTCTATGTTAAAAAGCTCAGGTACAGTATGGCCTGTAGCATTGTATGGTAGTTTTTTTTTTTGTTTGTTTTTTTTTTAAAAACCTGCTTTGTGGTGGCAGGGCACTGGGTTTACTGTCAGTGGTTTCATTCACAGTCATGTTGGAGCTGTAGTAACAAACAAATGGTTTACTGGGATGTAGATTTGTGTTATAATGTTAGAATGAACAGAGAATTGACATTTAAAGTACCTTTAACTGTTAATTCTGAATTTAAAGCCATATGAACGTTATGTAAAATCTATATCTCGGGCATGCATTCTGCAGTATTTAAGTGTTGGTGTTAGCATGCCCACATACCACTTATTTAAATATGTTTGTTGTGCACTGATATAGGGTACTCATGTCACCACGTTCCTCACATCTCCCAGTGTTAGTATGGGCAAGGGTAAGAATCTGCTTCTTTATATGCCTTGATTTCTTTGTGCCACACTTACACGTGTGACCACATGTGTCCCATTCATGACATAAAAATTCACACTAACATTTCTGCTCTTTCTTACACGTCATGAGATGTTTGAACATGCTGATATGGTAGATTATGCAAGATTTCTCTTATGCTTTTATATTATCTAATATATTATCAGAGGACCTCAACATCCTCTGGAGTGGAGGATGTTGAGGTCATTAACTCTGCAACTGAAGTGAGTTTTGTAACACAATCACACTCATTTTCAAATGCGTAAAAATTACACAATGTTAGACATTTTATAGGCAGTCACAACAAGAGATATAATTGGAAAGATACACAAATACAAGATTATAGAACTTCTAGCATTGGTATTTAATGAAAACTGTTTTCTTTTTATTAATTTTTTTCAGTTTAGCTAGTATTATATAGGTTCTCATTGTAAGGTAAAGATCCTACAATCACACAATTCTTATTCAAGCACTTGGCAACAGTGGGAAGGAAAAACTCCCTATTTAAAAAATGGAAGCCGCCAGCAGAACCAGGCTCAGGGAGGCAGCCTTCCACCATTGTCTCATACATGAAGCTGTATAGCCAATATTCAGAACACATGACACAAGTGTAGAAAAATGGCAAGCCTTTAATTCCTGCTCATCGAAAACTAAAAAGTAATCGGAGATCGCAAAACCAATTCAACTCCAATTGCTCCACAAAAGTTGTAATAAAACTCATCCAACAGAAGTCATGAAACAAAGACTTAAGAATAACATGTAAAAAGCAAACTAAGACGCGAAGGAATAATAAGTAGATATAGAAAGTCCACAAATGAAAAACATTGGGTTCGAGAACCCAGGACCATGAAATACCTGAAAATTCAAAGGGAAAAAAAGAACAGAACTCAGACAGGAAGCATACTTAAACCAAAAAGCAACTAAGAAAACTCTAACGTGATCATGACAGGTAAGATAAAAGACAATCTATAGGAGATTATTCCTGTGTTTAAATTTTTTTTCTTTTTTTAATGCTCTGGTATTTTGTTGTGAAGCACTTTGTGATCTTTCTCTCAAAAGTTGATATAGAAATTACATTTTCTATCAGTCTGAAAAAACTGCTATACATACACGACTAGAATCATCCGTGACGTTACATGCCAATACTGCTGGTTGTATAACATCATTGCATAATGAATAATTGGTTGACTGGCATTCAAGCACTCAGCTGATCCTGATGGTATACATTTATAAATGGTTACAATTTAAAAAATCTTTCAATTTCATGTTGCAATATGTTTGATACACGTCCTAGGTTTAAATTCGCCAGCTGGGATTTCTGTATGTTGTTTGCACGCTGTAACATCAGTAATAGCTGAATTTCTTATGTAAACGCTCATTATTTTCATATAGTTATCAAATAATATTGAATATTACTTTTAATTTGTTTGTATGTATTAAGTTTAGCAGCAGTAAACGCATGCTGGTTCCGTATCAAAGTAACAAACTTTGAGACCGCACTAGCACTTGGAACTGGATGAAAGATTCCAGGTGCAAGTACAGGCTTGGTTGTTTGCGACATCACTCATGTAGTTTCGTCACTTTGTACTGTGTGCTTGGCTTGTTTTCAATGAAATCTTTGTGTTGTTTTCCACTCATGCACAAGCCACACCACCACCAGTGTTTTGGCCAATTTATGGCATATCCAGCATTCTTTTTGCATTTCGTATCCTCATGCCTATATTCAGTGTTGGGAAGGTTACTTTTAAAATGTATTCCATTACAGATTACATGTCCCAAAATGTATTTTGTAACATATTCCGTTACGTTACTCAATAAAAGTAACGCATTCTGAATACTTTGGATTATGTAATTTATTATCATGCTTTTATACAACTACGTGAATGTACTATTGCTGTGTGATTTATTAGGCTACTATTATTGAAGGCTACTCGGCATACCAATACCAACTAGATTTTTGAATCTTAATATAAAATGAGTAACAGTAGGGTGTATATCAGGTAAGGCTGCACTTCTTTGTGTGTGTGTGTGTGTGTGTGTGTGTGTGTGTGTGTACTAGGCCACCTAAATATTTAACCTACAGTGATACATTGAAGCAATGTTTGTGCTGATGTTAAGGCCAAAGGAGATTTGGAGCTCTACAGTTATTAAGTCAGCAGAGTGTTGGTGACTCATCATTCAGTAACCCTGATTTATAACTTTATGTGGTCTGACACTTTGTGGCTGAGTTCATGTGGTTCCGTAACACTTTCACTTTGCAGTAATACAATCTGAAGGTCGTTGAATGCTTAGCTTTGCGAATTTTGTTTCACTCCTAACTTGTTGCAATGGCTGTATCTTCTTACAGAACCATGCTGGAATCCAGTGAGCTCTTTAGAGCTACAGATTTGTTCACAAATGTTTGTAAAGACAGACTGCATGGCTAGGTGCTTGAATTTTTCATTTAGTGCTTCCATGTTTAATAGTCTTACTACCCACATAGCAACTGGAACTTCTTTGGGCAGGCAAACCTGTTTAAACCTGTTTTCCCCCTAAAAAAGTTAGGGCATTGTACAATTTAAATAAAAGAAAAAAAAATATGCTTCATTCTATGGGTACTCACCAATAGATTTCATTTTAATAGATTTTTGGATTTATATTTACAGGAAAAAAATATATGACAAAGATTATAATGAGAAGTGGAATGTTTTAATGTATCTATAACACACAGTGACAGAGCTTCCTTTATCAGACACTGTGAATGCCATTTCTTAGTAGTAAGGTAACGCCTAGATTCATACAAGACTTTATAACAAGACTTGTATGGACTTGCTGGCAAGCCCATTAAAACGTTAAAGGATGTTATTTTTTATTATCTACCCAAGCTGGTCATATTGCTCTGGGAACCTATATGACTTTTTAATAAGTGTTAAAACATCTCCCTCATTCTCCTTAATGTTACGATGACCTGATTCGCGACAGAGGACAGCTAGCCGTAGCATCCTGGTGTAGCTCCTGTTTTTTTTTTCTGTTTTTTAAAATGGGCTCTTTCTTGGCATTGTGGAGTAATTGCCAAATGCAGTTGTCTATTAATTATCCATCTGAGTAGACAGAGCAATAACAAAGTGCATCAGGTAGAGCAATTTATTCAAGCAAGTCCCACATAACTGACTTTTTGTTTCCTCTCTCTCTCTCTCTCTCTCTC